TAAGCGGCGGCTTAGACATCGTCCCCGCCCTGCAGGAATGCGTTGCTGAGCGTCTCCTGCAGCTCTTTCAGGGCGCGGATCATGTTGCCCAGGACGCGGTGGGTGGTGCGGCCCTGGAAATTGGCCGTTTGTAGGCCTTGGGGCGTGCGCGCGATCGTCCGTTGGGCGGTCTTCTTGCGCGGCGGTTGCGGCGCATGGTTGCGCGGGTTCTTCTACGCCTTCTTCAGCGCCTTTTTCTTCGGCGGTGCGCGCCGCTTGACGCTCCTTGGGGCCTTTGTGGCCGGTTTCCTCTTCTTGGGCCCCTGTTCCCTTGGCCCCGTGCGCGCATGCGTGTTGGCTGCCACATGCAGCAGCGTGTGGTGCGCTAGCCCGCAGGTCTTGCAACTACCCGGCGGGTCGCATTCCCCGGTGGTGTGGGTGAGCGCAAGGCAGTTGACGCAGTAGCCTTGCGCGCGGGCTACTCCCAACCGTTGCGGCGGCTTCATCGCCTTGAAGGCCGGGCACGTCCGCAATGCGTGGTACCGGTGGCAGAGCCGGCATTGTAGGCAGTTGTCTGTCTCTGCCGTTGGAGCCAGGGGGCATGCCTTCCGTGCTGCCATGATGTCTTCGATCTGGAAGTAGAAGCAAAGGCAGAGAAACGAGAAGTACTTGGGTACAATATTTAAACGGGAAGTTAAGACCCTTAATATACAAAAGGAAAGGATGTATAGAATTATTTATTGTGCTTTTGGAAGGAAGCACAGTTTGACAAGTGGCCGCGTGATAACTCCATTTTGTGTACGGACTTCCACAACACGTATGTGGTTATCAGGGCCATGGCGAACGTTTTCGATTCGTCCCAATCGCCACTCGGTGGGGGGGGAGTGAATCTTCTTTGATCACGACGATGTCGCCTGGCTGAGGGTCGCGCTGTGGAGTTTTCCACTTGTACCTCTTCTGAAGATCTTTGAGGTAATCTTCTTTCCAGCGGCGACTAAATTGGTGGTGAAGTGCTTTGACTTTCTCCCATCGGTTTAGTAGAGAGAGGTCTTCCGCATTAGGCTCGGGAATGGCCAATAGCGGTGCACCTCGAAGGAAGTGACCCGGAGTAAGTGCTGTCATATCAGCTGGGTCTTGAGAAAGTGCGGATAGAGGCCTCGAGTTGAGGACTGCTTCAATTCGCACCAGAAGCGTCGTGAATTCTTCGAAAGTGAACTTGTGGGTTGCAGCGGTTTTCTTTAAATGGATTTTAAAGCTTTTCACTGCAGATTCCCACAAGCCGCCCATGTGGGGGGCGCTGGGTGGTATATATTGCCAGTTGATGCCTTGAGGGGCATATTTTTTGACAATGTCTGCGGAACATTCGTTAAGGAATTTAACGAAGTCGCGTTCTGTTGCGCGCTGGGCGCCAATGAACGTTTTTCCATTGTCGCTCATCATTTTTGAGGGAAAACCTCGTCTGCCAACGAAGCGGGCGAATGCTGCTCGAAAAGCCTCGGTTGTAAGATCCGAGCATAGCTCGAGATGCACTGCCTTTGTGGAAAAGCAGACAAAAACTGCAACGTATCCCTTGATAAGGGTTGTAGATCTTAGCACCGATGCTTTAATGTGGAATGGCCCAGCAAAATCTACTCCCGTTGTGGAAAATGGGAGTGAGAAACTGTAGCGCTCAGGGGGTAGAGCGGCCATTATTTGGGTGCGTGTTTGTTGCTTGTACAGCGTGCACACTTTGCATTGAAAGATGCATTTTTTAATTAGAGGTTTCAGCTTTGGTACGTAGTACTCTTGCCTTACCATTTGGAGCATTAATCGTGTTTCTGCGTGAAGAAGCAGCGAGTGTAAAAACTCCAAATATAGCTGGCAGAACCTCGATTCGGTAGGGAGAATTATTGGGTGCCTTTCATTATAGCTTAATGTGGAATGTGCTAATCGGCCATTAACCCGTAAAAGTCCGTCTTTGTCCAACGAAGGATTGAGAACAATAAGAGGACTTTTTTTGTTAAGTGGCTTTTTATCTTGCAAAGCGCTTTTTTCGCTCGGAAAATGGCGTGATTGCGCTGCGTTGATAAGATGAATTTTTGAATATTGAAATTCGTTATGTGTCAGATGTGGATAGGTGATTGTGGCTACCCCCTTTGATTTGTTGCGGGCATTGCTCACGAAGCGGAACATGTACGCAGTCACGCGGAGTGCTCGAGAGAAAGAAGAAAAGCGATCAAGAAAATCGACCTCTTCTTCGAGCGCGTGATATGCCTCCACCTTGCGCTTTTCTGGTGGAGATGCACTGCATGCATTTGACCTTGGCCATGCATCCATGTGGCAAGAGAGCCATGTTGGTCCGTGCCACCAGAGTGGGGAATTCGCCAAATCCTGCGGTTTGCACCCACGGGTGCCGAGGTCGGCTGGATTATCTTGGCTGGAAACATGGCGCCATGCACCGGTTGGAAGATATTCCCGGATTTGAGAGGTACGATTGGATACATACGTCTTCCATGTACATGGTGGCTTTTCAAGCCAAGCTAGCACAATCTCTGAATCTGACCATAAGAATATGTTGCACGATTCCAATTTGAGCTGTTTTCGAACAGTTGCGACCAGTTTTGCGAGTAAGACTGCACCACACAGCTCCAGGCGTGGCAAGCTTACCGTCTTCAATGGTGCGACTTTGCTTTTTGCAACCAAGAGAGTGGAATATCTTTGGTTGCTAGCATCTGCGCGGATGTAAATCGCAGCGCAATATGCTTTTTCCGAGGCATCGCAAAACCCGTGGATTTGGGTATCTTGCCCCGGAGTGAAATTAACCCATCGAGGGATTTCGATGTGGCAGATAGCTGGCAGATTTTCTGCGAACTGTTGCCATTTTGCTAAAGATATAGGTTTGGCACATTCGTCCCAATCAACGCCATCTAGCCAAAGTTCTTGAAGAAGAATCTTTTCTTGAATCATCACTGGCGATAGCCATCCTGCCGGGTCAAAAAGTTTTGCGACAGAGGATAAGATTTGTCGCTTTGTGACGGCATTCGATGTCGATGCAGGCAGAATGGTGTAGGAAAACTTATCGGTGAGTGCGTTCCATTGTATACCAAGAGTTTTGGTTGTGGAAACGCTCTCAAATTTCAAAAAGTTGGAGTCGAGAAGATCCTCTTTTGGAAATTTTTCTAAGATGGCCGGATGATTGGCCGTTAGTTTCTTGAGTATGAAACCAGCTGACTTAAGCGCTTTGATCACTTGAAGAAGTGATTCAGTAGCGTTGTCAATATCATGACTTCCGGATAGGATGTCATCCACATACGTTTCGATTTTAAGTATTGTGGCAGCCAAGGGAAATGTCGCTATCGTATCATCTGCTAATTGATGCAGGGTACTGATAGCGAGGTATGGTGCACAATTAACCCCGAACGTTACGGTTTTAAGATTATAATCGGTGACAGGAGAGTCAGCCGATGTGCGAAATAAGATTCGCTGAAAATCTTTATCGTCCTCATGGATGAGTATTTGACGATACATTTTTTCAATGTCGCCATTGAACACGAATCTGTGCATTCGCCACTGCAGAATGAGCAGCATGAGATCTGGCTGGAGTGTGGGACCAGTGTGCAACACGTCATTCAGGGATTTTCCTGAACCAGATGTTTTTGAGGCGTTGAATACCACGCGAACTTTGGTGGTTACCTTATCTGGTTTGACGACCGCATGGTGTGGCAAGTAGAATGAGAAGTATTTGCCATTAGCTACTATCTCACATGGCTTCGTGTGCTCCATATGACCGAGGTCGAGATATTCTTGCAACACATTGTTATACATTGTGCCTAAGTCTCCTTTTTTCTGAAGCGATCGCTCCATGCTAAAGAACTGCTGAAGTGCAGCAGACCGAGAGTGGCCCAGAGACAGCTTTTTTGGAAATTCTTCCTTGAATGGAAGTCGAACAATGTATCGACCGTTTGGGGCACGAGTCGTTGTTGTTGCATATATATGCTCACAAGCCTGATCTTCCGGGGAAATTTGTGGAGGTTGTGGAATCTCCTCCTCTTCCCAAAACTTTCGAAGCTGGGAGCTGAGAGTTGCATTCGAGCACTCTTCTACTTGTGTCGAGAATGACACCACATTTTCGGTTATTGGACCACTGAGAATCCAGCCAAATATTGTTTTTTGCGCAAGTATTGTGTCGCAAATATTTTGTATACCTTCCAGCAGGATTTGTGGAAGTATATCGCTGCCGATTACCATGTCAGTTTGAGCTGGTATGTGACAGCTTGGGTCAGCAAGTTCAAGGATCTTGAATTGCTGCCAGTTTTCACGGCTAATGGTGAATGTAGGCATGTGCCTCGTGAGCTGAGGTAACACGATAGCCTGTGTGTTTATCCGTTGCATGGTTTTTGGTGCTACCAATGTGAGTGGACAAAGCTTTGAGGAGCTTTGTACTACATGTCCACCCATGCCGGAAATTTCGAACTTGGAATGTTTGAATGGTAGTTTCAACCGGTTTTGAACTTTCGAGGAAATGAAAGTTCTTTGTGAGCCTTGATCAATCAGGGCTCTAAGTTGAAACAATTCACCCTCGTGTTCAACTGCGACTATGGCAGTTGGAAGGAGAATTTTGCTATCATTGTCGGTGTGCAATGATTGTATTTGTGCTTGTTTGGAACAGCACGGTTGCTCGCTGGAATCGGAGCTTGACTGCGCTTGTCGAGCGGGAGGTGTCGACTGGGCAGTAGTGTGTTGTGCGGCGGTTTCATTCGCTCGCGCACTGGAGTGTCGAGATTGTGGTTTGGGGTTCATGTGCAGCAGGGAGTGATGCCGTTGTTGGCAATGTGTACATGACCACTTGCTCGGACACTCATTAGTGCTATGGGTATTACCAAGGCAGTTTTTGCACAGCTTGGTTTGGTTTGCGAATTGTACTCGGTTCGGTACCGAAATTCGCTTAAATTGTGGGCAGACTCTAATGGGATGAGGGGACTTGCAGTAAGAGCAAGTTGGTTCCCTCTTAGGTTCTGCCACAAAGGTTTGAGTCCTGTTAAAGGACCTGTTTTGCGCAGCATTTTGATGAGCGACTGGTTTTTGTTTATTTTGGCTTGGATGAAGCCGGTTAAGTCTTTCGACTACTTCGTATCTTGAAGTAAGAAAATCGTCCATTTGTGACCATGAGGGTAAATCTCTTCGAGAAGAGAGAGATTGTTCCCAAAGTGACAGTGTGGCTTCGGGCAATTTGGATGAGCAAATGTACACCAATATGGGATCCCAACTGTCTGCCTGGACGTCTTGGGAATTAAGAACTGACAGACAGTTGTTAATTGATGTTTGCAGCCTTTGAAGTTGCTCGCTATTCTCGGATTGAATAGTCGGCAAAGTCATCAAAATCTTAATTTGGTTGTCAACCAAGATACGTTTGTTTTCGTATCGTGACCGTAAAGCTTCCCAGGCCAGCTCGAAGTTATCATCGCTGAGCGGGTATTGCTTGACGATGGAACCGGCTTTTCCTTGAGTTTTGTACCGGAGGTGATACAGTTTTTGAGCACGGGAGAGCTTCGGGTGGTTGATGTACACCGCTGTGAACATGTCACGAAAAGCGGGCCATTCTTCGTAACCACCGTAAAATGTCTCCGTGTCACAAGGTGGGACTTGAAGAAAAACGTTTGCCTCTGCCGAGGTGTGTTCCACGCGGGGTGGTGGACTCGGTGCGGCGATTGCTTTAATCAACGACAGTTGATCGGCAATTTTAGCTTTGGTCACCTCATATAATTCAAGGCAAGTGAAGTACTTGCCTTCTACCGAACTCTTAAAGTTTTCGGGTAGGCTGTCATCTGGCTTTGAAAAAACCAAATCATAGGCGGACTGAAGCCGTGCCCAACAATCATCTAGTGATTTGTCTTTTATCATAAGATATGATTCAGTGTGGTCTTGGATCGGTGCATCACTGAATCTTGCACAGTATCTCATGATACTGTCACTTTCCGCTATAAACTTTTGAGCGGAGGGGTCAAAAGTTTTAGGTTTCGGGCGCGGTGAGGGTTCCCTCTTACCACCGGTGGCTTCTTGCGAAGCAGTTTTTGACCTTGTCTCGATTTCAGACATTTTTGGTGGACTGTGTCCAAGTGGCATTTTTAATGCTGTGGAAGGTCACACGTATAAAAATTGAGAGAAAAATCAAATTTTACTGAGTACCACCCAGATAACGTTCGCAAAAATTAGAAAAATATATGTCAAACGAGTAAAAATTGCACTTTGTGCCACATAAAATCAGGAAAAGAATTTTAAGATTTTGTGGCGGTGTTTGTGTTTTTTGTTTCTTGCAAATTACGTGAAATTATATTTGCTTTAATTTTTGGTTCAGTACTTTTTATTACGTGGAAAACGGAGCGTCCCAATCAAATCCGCGGAATATGGATTTGAAAAATTTCAGTACGAGAAAAAAAAAATCCCAAACACTTTTCATTTTTATATACGTGGTGAAATATACGTATGTATAAATATTTAATGTGAATAATTATGTAAATACTGAAAAAGTAATGGTTATTTATCACTATTTAGACCAATGCAATTCGGGAGCTTTCCCTACTGGGTTGCATGTATCTGATATCTTGAACTCACTTCTTATCGCGTTATGGATAATATTCGTGTGACAATATTCTTTGTTAGCACGTATGTACAAAAGTGCAGAATATGTAGAATGTAAAAATGTACGTACGTATGCATGTACAAATATTTACGTATGAAGCCGAGTATATGGCTAAGCTATGCTTTGTCACAGCAGTGGTGAGTTAAGAAACGAAAACAACAGAGAATTTGTTTTGATTATAGTGCGTATGTATGAATGTGTGCGGGAATGCACAAGTGGATATAATAATACGTAAAGAGCCGCTCACCGCTGAGAGAGCGGGCTTTGATTTACGTTCTCTTAGCTTGGTGAGTGCAGCAGAGAAAAGCAAGATTGAAATAAATTAAAATAAGCTAGAGTGCGCTTGGTACGTGTGGACTGTATTGTTCGATAAATAGCAGCGACTCTCTTAGCTATTATACGAATAGTTGCAGAAAATGCAACTGGTAAAAATGTTTATATGTGCTAACGTATGTACATATGATATATGGGAAATAGTGCACTTATATTTTTCGGCAATTTGTTTAGCCAAGTTCAACGAACTATGCGACCAACGGCAAAAATTGGTAAGCAGAGGAAAGTATGTGATTTTAATGTGCTAATATTTTGTTCTTGCACAGTGGGACACAGTAGGCATATAAACTGCAACGGAATTTATTTTGGGGTATATATCAGAATTTGTATATATGTACATATACTTATATATATATATAAGATTGGCGGTAAGTGGAGATATACCGCTTTCCGGAAAACGGAATGTTTCTACCAAAATTCAATAGCGGCAAATTGCCGATGTGAGATTTTTGGGCGGCAAGAAAATATCCGCAATTTTATTGAAACCGTTTTTGGCGAGAATAAATACGCCTTTTATTTAATTATATATATATATATATATATGTATATACGTATGTATGCCCGTTGGCAGTTTATTAGAAATAATATAACTTTCAAGAATATGAAAGTTATATTATTTAAATTTTTATGGAAATTAAAAATTTGCCTACTTACTACTTTCCTTGATTTATGTATATGTGTATCTGATTTTGCTCCTTTTTGCCTGGGGGCTTCTTGTGTCTGGTGTTGTTGCTGCCGCTTATGCTGTTGATGGCTGCTGATGTTGTTGATGGCTGCTGGTGGCGGGTGCTTGGCTGAAGTATGTAGGCCAATTTGTTTGGTTTGATGATCATGTTGTTCACTCGATTGGTTTTTTAAATGTACATAAGTATTTTAATTATTTATTTGTTTTTTCCAAAATTTTATTTTATTTGTTTGTTGTTTTTGCACTTAGTTTCTCAGTTTTTTTGCGTATATGTATGTATATACGCGCACTTTAGTTTATAGCTTTTTTTCCACTGTTAAAGTTGTTTTTTGTTGTGTTTTTACGGTCGTGCGAGTACCGATTTTTTTTTTTTGTGGTTTTTATTAATTTATTTTATTTTTTTGGAGCTAGGCCAGGGTTGGCTGCGAAGGACCATGAATACTTCCAATGGTTGCCTTTCGCACTCACCTTGCACACGCACAGTTTCTT